GGTAAGCAAAGAATCCTGGATCTGGCCGCCATTTTCGCTGCCCGGTAAGCGAGGGCAGGGCGCGAAAATGGTGCGGGTGGCCATTTTCTGCACCCAGCGACCATTTTGGAACCGCCGATCAGCTGTTTCCAAAATGGCCGCCGGGTGCAGAAATGATCGCAATGCGATGTTTAGCCTATCTAAACATCGTAATGCGATCGCATTAGCGACCCCAAAAAATGGGTCGCTATGCGGATTCGTTGTTAAACGGTGCGCTCGTTAAGCGAGGCACCACTGTATAAGTAAAACTAAAAACAAATTAAAATGTTAAGATAACAAGACAAGTTAATTATGCAGGCTACACATTGCCCCCCCCAAGCTACACATTGCTGGGGGGTGGGAATGTGTAGCCTGCATAATTAACTTATAAACCACCCAGAGAGTGTTTTAAGGACTATGGGGTGGTATACAAGCAGCATGCTTTGTGTTGCTTTATACTATTTTTGACCAAAAGCTGGCTAGTTCAATAGTGTTATCTCGGCGTTTGCTAGATCTTCTTTTGTACAAATGGTGAGGCATAAATTCTATGCATGTAAGTGATGCATTGATTGAATTTCTCTACAGTCACAGAAAACTTGCCCTGTACCCAAGTAGCCCCATTTTATATGATTATTCTTTGACCTTTATACTTTATTCTGCTAAAATGATCCTTATTTCAAAGGAGAACATTTGAATGTAGTTAGTGCAGTTTTAAATGGTGTGTATGTTCTAATTAAAGCATGTGAAATTTTAAGCCTGAACAAACAGGATATGACAGATCCCTAACAGCCAGGGTTCTTTGCCCCATTTGACACTTGTCTATGGCCACTCACCCTACTCTTTCTATATAGATGCTGGGAGAGGGAGGACTGACTTGCTCCTCAGTCATGAATGGAGGAAGGGGAATTACAGAAATTCAAATGAGGCTATCTTAGAACCAGAACGAGGAAGTTACCTTTCCTAGAAGTTCCCAGTGACTGCTGCTGGTTGGGACTCTGGCTGCTTTTCCAAGACCCAGAAGAAAACGGACCTTGCAGACAAAGTCATTCATAGTGAGTTCCACAGCCACCTACGTTGCTAACATTACTTACTATAATTAAGAAAACTGAAGCATATGATTTGCCTTCCCCCCTCTCAGTCTGATGACTCATTCCTCAATCTTTACTCACAGATTGTGCATACCAACTGTGAAAAGCTGCTATGAGAGCAAGTAATGCTCACATCAAGCCATGATGAGAAGCCTCCTTTGTTTATTTGCAGCACTAATCTCAAAATTAGACCTAGCCATTTGAAGTACTTTGCTAAGGAGAGGTTAATGGAGAAGGTTTGTAAAATAAACATGGCTTTGCACACGCGGCGTAGTGATTAAACTGCAATACTCTAGTCGAAACCTCTGCTCATGACCTAAGTTCGATCCTGACGGGCTCGGATAGCCTGGCTCAAGGCAGACTCAGTCTCCACCCTTCCAAAGTTGGTAATCTGAGTAACCAGTTTACTGGGGTGGGGGAGGCAATGTGGAGCTCGCATAATTAATTTGCAAACTGCCCAGAGAGTGCTTTAAGCACCATGCATTGATATATAAATAGCACATTTTACTTAGTCTGTATTTGGATATTTGGTTGGCATCACCCTAGCATCCTGTCTAATGTATGTACCATTGTTCTGTGAACTCTTTGTTCATGCAACTTTTCTGATCATGTACGAGCAGCTTGATCGACAGGTGAAAGCACCACCTAAGCACAGCTACCCTTAGTAATCTTGTTCGGTACATCCTTAGTTAACTGTCTCTAGCAACTTGTTGAAGTTTCCTTTCCTTCTCCAGAGTCAAACTATCAATCTCATTGCTGTTGGCTCTTGTTTGAAATCTGCAACTACCATTTGGTTCAAGCACCTAACATTTCTCCTCGGTTGACTCAAAGTGGACAGTCAAGTCCTGTTTGGTTTACAGTCTAGCATTCCTCCTCTCCAACTCCTGCTACTAAACCATGTTTCCTATGTTCATTTTCCATGAACTCTCTCTGCCTCAGTGAGGTCTTTGTTCCAAATTCTGCTTTTATAACTGAATTGGCCAGCATTTCCTTTTTCCCAATGCTGCACAGGGCTCAAGAGTTTAACCACCTTTAAATATATGACACATTCCGTCTGTCTCCAGACAAAAGGGTGCTCATCCTTAGCTGAACTACAATTACATTAGCTGTATATCAGTATTCTGGCCTAAAACATGGCACCAGATTGGTGAAGGAAAGGCTCACTCTTTCTGCTCATTATTTAACTCTGAAGGGCCACATATGCCTGACAGTGCCTACTTTGATCTCTTGGGGGAAAAATTGTTCTGAAGTTATATTGAATAATTTTTCATAACAGGAGAGACAGAAAAGCCAATGGCAAATAATTTATATGGTATTAATCAGTTCAAATAGCACCCTTTCCTTTTTAAAATGGTAAATTTCTTGAGGCTTGAAACAAAAAGATCCCAGAATATTATTTCTAAACAGAAGCACAATTTCCTTGGCAAATGAAGTCCCTTCACACAAAATGGAAGTTTCAATGTGCAGCACCGTTTCAAGGAGCAAGGACTCCTCTGAAAACTGTATTTTGTATAATATATATGGTTTTGGTGCAAAAAACAGTTCTGTGTATTTTTAGAGGAAAGGCCCTGAAACATGAAAAATGCACAAAAGCTGATAATCTTACTTAGTGGGGAGAAGACTTTTTAACTTTTTCATTCCCACCTGTGAGAATAACATAAGTAAATTATTATCCTTCCTACGATATACTAATCAAAATTTGCTGCAGTTGTTACTTCCATATAGGAATCCAGGTTCCCCTTCACAAGGAAAAGAACAAACATGCTTTCAATGCATTGTCTGTCTTTTCTCACTCCCTATGCGCCTTCATGGTTGTCAGTTCTTTTTTTCAAAGTGCAATCTATAAATTCCTACTCCTATTTTCACTTCTTGGTGTTTTTTAAACCCAACAGAATTAATTTTTAAAAATATTTTTAAACCTGCTTTTTGGAAGTGAGGTGGGTTACTGATGCCACAAATTTGCAGCCACTCAAGACAATAACATAGTAGGTTCTTGGCTCAGTAACATTCAGATATTATTTTCTAACAGCATTTTCCAAACAGGCTTTCCCGTAACAATTATTCTCCCTTGAATAGAACCCTCTTCACCAGCAGTTGGAAAGTAACTTCATCTCTAACTGGCTACAAACACAACAGTTTTGCTGATAAATCGACTGTTCAGTTCTGCTCCAGCCCAGATGAGTCAATGGCACCTTTGTCAAAAACAAAAACAGAGAAAAAAACTAACATCACCCACTCTTTATCTGAGTATAAAGAACCAGCCTAAAATAATGTATGACTAATGTAGCATCCTAGTGTAGTGTAGTGGACAGAATGACAGACTAGGACACTGGAGAACATGGCCTGAATCTCAACTTGGCCATGGAAACTCACTGAGGAAGTGGAACTGGTAAAACCACTCCTTAAACATCTCACCTACTTTGAAAACCCTATTAGGGTAGCTAGAATTAGGTTCTAACTTGACGGTACAGAACACACATTTAAGATTCCCAGTGTGGTGTAGTGGATGGAGTGAGGGACAAGAACTCTGGAGAACAGGGTTCGAATTCCTATTTGGCAATAGAAACTGATTGGGGGAGTGGAACTGGTAAAACCATTCTTTAAATATCTCACTTACCTTGAAAGCTCTATAAGTTCATTCTGACTTGACAGCACAGGACACACACACACACACACACACACACACACATACAAAATGTAGGAGAACCAAAATTATCCTTGTACTTCTAACAAATCATACCGGGACTTAGTGATCAATACCACTAACCAAATGGCTCCTACACTTAATTTAGGAGCCCTGCAACTCTATTCTATGGGTCTGTCACACAAAGCAAAATTCAGTTGGAGAAAAACAGTGCACCGAAGGACAATCATGCAGTGGTATTCCCTCTCCCACAAGTTCTCCTTTGTGTGACTGATTTTGCAAACTTGAATAAATTAGGCAGATTAAGGAGAGTGTAACCGAAGGAAGAGGGCTTTTGCAACTGCTCTTATATAATAATAATGCAATTGCGTGTGAACAGAATTCCATCTATAATGCATAGAGCAGGTCTTTGCGGAAATCAAGACAAAAAGCCTGATGCAAAGTTTTATAGGACCAATTGCACGCTTAGTGCTTCTATGAAAGGAGGGACTTGCTTATTTATTTACAAACCAGAGATAGATCCATATGTGCAAATGAAACATGACTATACCAGGTTTCTGTTATATTCCGGTCTCAGGATGGTTTACTTCAGTTGACAGCAAATCTCAGGTGATATGCATGGATCTTTTCCAAACTTGTGATATAGTCCTTTTGAGCGGAAATGCATTTATTTAGCTATCCACAAAGATAACCTTTCTGGCTGATTTCAAAGACTGAATGACAAATTATGAGGAAAGGGAGTCTCTGGAGTAATCAGGCTCCAGTTGTTTATTACTTTTTATAATAATCATATATGCCAGGGTTTAAACACAGGACGTTATATATGCAAAGCAGGACTCTGCCATTGAGTTATGGAACATGCATGCCCAGCCTGTCTGGCTGAGAGGGAAGTGAACAAGGAAATCCATGGATGCCTGAGAAAGCTGATCGGAGAACAGGGGAGAGTAATCATACAATATCAAAGAGATATGCCTGTCAAAATCCATCTGCCATGAACTCTTAAGTTCTTTACACTAAAGACAAGACACCGGTGCAATCTTGATGAAGTGGGCCCCAATCCACAAAAGATAGCAGATGGTATGATTTCTTTAGTGGTCTATAAAGGTGTCACTTACTCCTGCATTTGTAATGTGTACCAACCACACGGCTCTCTTTTATTTCAGCAGAAAGTAAGCTACACATCAGGGTAAAGGTAATACAAGGTTTCTGATGCTTCATAATTTAACAGAAATTCTTAGAAATGCTCTCACCTGCAATCTCATTCTCTTCAAGATTGATTGTTTCAAGAGCCTGCAAGGAGGTCAGTTGCTCTGGAAAGTGCTGAAATTTGTTCCTGGAAAGGTTGATGACTCTCAGATGTGACAAGGTTCGGACCTCTTCTGGCAAGCGATGAAGGTAATTCCCTTCCAGATTAAGTTCTGCAATTGGACAGGATGAGAAATCATGAAAAGCGTGACCAATCTGGAAAAGTGTTCAGCCAAACCTACCTTTACTTCTTATTATTATCAAGAGGAAATTAAAGAACAGAACAAAACAGGGTTTGCAAGAGAGATGGTTCCAATAAAAACAACC